TTCTTATTTTTATGAAAATATATATTGTTTTCTTTTTTTTTACTCTTAATTTTAATTTATGATGCGTGAGAAATAAGGTAATAAATTCACAGCTAACACAAGAATCTAGATTAATAAATATGAGTAAATGAATTTTTTTTAGAAATATTAAATTATTTATATTTTAGATTAAGATTAGCTAAAAATGAATTATATTTAAAAAAATAATTGGCATTGTTGGTTGATGGATGAAAAGGTTGGCGCAAGCCTATATGGTTGAGGCCGAGTGGCTTAATAGCAATAATACACCAACGATGGCGGAGTACATGAGCAACGCATTGGTAACTATTCGGATCCGAACGTTCACTGCCACATCATTCATTGGGATGGGAACCATTGCTACAGAGGAAGCCTTTCAATGGGGCGCCAAGGACCCTAAAATCATTAGAGCTTCAGAAATTATTGGGAGGCTTCTTGATGGCATCGTGTCTAACAAGGTACTAATTAATTACAATAATAAATTTAGACTTAAACGTCAATTTTATTTTTAAACTATAATTTCAGAAATTTTTGATATCCTAAAGTTATTTTTAATATAATTTTTTTCTTAAGTTTTAAAAATGAGATAATATTGTTATTTCTACTATTAATAAAAATTAACTTTTATTATTAATTAACTAGAAAATTACAAAAAAATTAGTCAATTTTTTTAAATTTTTTGATCAACTAATAATCAAATTTAATATTAATTTGTTAATGATAAGGGTAATATTACATCGTTTTAAAATGTTGAGAGGAATCATGGCACCAAAATCGAGTTTAGCATTGACATATTCTAAGACTTATAGTTTAAGAGCAAGTTTGCATTTAAACCAACAATTTGTACCTTCTTTTGTTTGATACTCTAAATCAAGTGCATTTTTGTTATATCGTCAATACAAAATAAGGGAAATTGCTAAGAAGCTAAAGACCGAGGGGTAAATTTATTTGGAAAAATGGTCTAAAGTCCTTCAAGTGAATTGAGATAATAACCTTAATTCACTTTATCTTAATTCATTAATTTCAAGGTCTTTAACATTCTAACTCAAGTACATTTTTGTCATACCATCAATATAAAATAGGAAAAGTAGCTAAGAAGAACGAAGTGATAAATTTATTTAGAAAAAAGGGCAGTCCTTCAAGAGTAAATTAAGATTATAACCATCATTCACTTAATCTTAGTTCTTTGTAAGGACCTTGATCCTTTTTCATAATATCTTTGCCTCAAGGTCCTTCTTACCAATTTGTCCTATAAATATTATTCATGGATCGAGTTTCCTTGATTGACAAAAACAAGGTTGTGAAATGAGAGAGTAACATGTGATGATCTTTAATGAAACGAGTCTTTATAATTAGTTATTGCCTTTCATTAAGGGTGGGGAAGTAATCAAATGTTCACTAATTACTCAACTCAATAATTAATTTAATTTGTATTTGTTAACATGAGCAAAAGAGAGGGCATGTTGCTTCTGCCATTGAGTGTTACATGAAGCAGCATGGTGTGAAGAGAGAAGAAGCCATCGATGAGTTAAACAAGCAAGTGATAAGTGCGTGGAAGGATGTAAATGAGAAACAAAGCCTCTGCTGTTGCGAGTTTTAAATCTCAATCGTACAGTTGATGTGATTTACAAGGATTTTGATTTCTACACTTTCTCTATAGAATCAACAAAGGATCACATTACATTTTTACTAATAAATCCATTGGCTCTTTAAAAATGTACATCAACAAGAATGATCTAGCTAGAGAAGTTTGTGCCGATATACTACAGTTAATTAATTAAGTTTGATCATGAGACCCAAAATCCAATGACTTGGGGCAAGTCTTTGCCCTTTATCTTTATGTTGTTACCATTTGGATAGGCATTCTAGCATTCTCATGCTTGCTTGTATCAATAGTTATGTAAGAGAAAATAAATAAAGTGCAAATTTATTAAAATTTCAAATTTATCTTATGTCTAAATTCACATATATAGTTCATGAAACCGCAATAATATTATGTTTTGAAATGTAGTTTTTAGATTTGTCATACCAATACTTGTTTAATTTTCTATAATGACCTAGAAATTCAAATATGTGCTAGTGCGAACTGTAACGATCACCAATGAAAATACACAGATTAAGAGATATAATTGAGATACTCACGTTTTAATGTGCAATAATCCATAAGCTGAGTACATCAATAAGTTTTAGATCATCAAAACAAACTATAATAATGAACTAACACAATGACACCAGAATAACTGAAATTGCAGCAGAAAGGAGGGAAGGAGAAAGAAGAAACATAACAGGGGAAGAGTAAAGCAAGAGAATGCTCAACAATATTCTTCACGTCCTCCACCTCCACTTCTCTTCTTGCCTTTCTATATTCCTAACAAACTTCCATTGGACTCATACTTCTGGGCCCAATAAATGCCTCTGGGCCAATAGGTGTAAACTCAAAAACCCACTCCATATAAATTGTGTTGAGCCCATCTGTTACATGAACCCACTAGGGAAGGTCCCGGGAACTCACAACCAATCCGAATATGCGCACTTCAAGAAAGTTAAACAAAGGCCTGATTATCCATTGGAACCGTTGAGGGCTAACGAACCTTATAAAAAATTATTATTAATTAAGTTCCCTAAATTGCAAATAAATCTCAATAGAATAATATTATTTTTTATCCATGTAAAAGACAGAAATATCACTTAAAACCAACCATTTTGATTGACTACTGGATGACTATCAAATCACCAATGCTACGAATATTAGTAAGTAATTAAAAATATTATATTTGTTTTAATAACATCTTATTAAAATATTAAACGTTTTAATAATTGATAATTTAAATATTATTATTTATAAATATTACTCCAAGATTATATATAAATCATCTTTTAAAAAGTAACAGCTCAACTTGTGTTTATGCCGTTTATAGGTGAAAATGTTTTTGACACTAGTTGAGTTGTAAATTAAAATGGTGTGAAAAATTATAAATCTTCATTCAAAATATATAACTCCTTCAAAAACTTGTGTATCTTTAAAGTTGGCTTATAAATTGTGTATTAAGATTTATAAATGGTTAAAGTTTATTTTTATCTTTGAACTATACCCTCAAAAGCATCAAGTGTCATATATTCTACTCTGGTCCGATATACTGCTAAAACATTCAAAACCAACTCACCCAGTGTCTTACCATTAAGTTGGAGCAAACAACCCATTATCTTAAGAAAGTAGGGCCCACATGTGATCTACATAGCATCCAAGTAGATGCCTAGTCATAATTATTTTTTTTTAAAAAAACAAAATCCTTGCTCTTTAATTAGTCTCCAGCAAATACTCTAGGCCAAGAGCAAAATCCATCCACCCAAACAATTTTTATGCACCCAATAGTGGAGGCAAATGAGAAGAGCCCTTTTGTCTCCCTGACCTCTGGCAAGTCCTTCGCTTGTCACCCAGTGGATCCTACTGCTACCCCTCATCCTCGGAATTGTTGCCTTCATCCATGGCTTCACCGGTGAGTCCAACTAGTTTGTCCATCTCATTGCCATGCACTTCACCAAGGGTGGATTCACCACTTGCACCATCGATCACCAAGGCCACAGCTTCTCCAATGCCTTTCTTTCTTGCTACAACTCTTCTTTTCCTTATATATTCCTTCCTCTACTCCGAGTCATCCTCTGTCGCTCCCTCCTCCAATCTCTTCCTCCTCATTGATTTGCTTCTCCCTCCTCCAATCTTTGCATACGCACTGGTTTCTTTTGATTCTGGTTTGGGGGATTTATTAAAAAAATGGGTTTGATTTTGTTTTTTCCCTGGGTTGTTGGCTTTGATTTGATCTCAACCCTATTATACTCTTGTTCTTTGGTTTTCAACCTCGTAATGAATCATTTGCAAGTGACATTCATTTATTTATAAAAGAAAATAGAAAATTTAACTTGTTAAAGATATTATGACTTCTATTGATTTGATACTCCTATTCTCTTATTTATAACTTTGTAATCACTAATTTGTGTTGAAAGTTTGACATATGGTGGACTGGTGGCATCTAGATCGTGCTGAACTTCAAGGTTTTAGTGGTGAATTTTATTGTTGTTGCTAAAAGTCTCACTTCAAGCCATAATTTTTTAAAATCATCATTGAAAGTCAAACTTTTAAAAATGATTTTAACTATTGGGGTAGGAAGTCAAACTTTCAATGGTGATTTTAATGTTGTATTTGGATTGATAGATTTAGACTTGAAATATCTAAAAATTTTTATTTGCTTAGTTTAAAAAACAAAGTTTATTATTATTAGGTAGTATTTCGAAGGTGTATGTGAAGATTTGAAATAATAAAAGTTTATAAAAGATTTGAAAAGATTCTAAATCCATAAATTTTTAAGTGTTTAAATAGAAAATATAGCTCAATTTTAAATTTATATGTATCCAAACATAACATTAAAGTCACATCAATTGCCAACTTTTAGAAGTTGAAATCTATTTCTTTTTTTAATTACCCCATTTTTTACCCTTTTTGAATCTTGTGTATTATAACTTTTCCTTTTCAATTAACTAGTCTTTTTTTTAAAAAAATAGTGATGGGAATTTTTTAATTCGCAATAAATCCTGCTAAAAGTCTTTTTCTATGGGAATTTTTTACTTCGCAATAAATGCTGCTAAAAGTCTTTTTTTCTTTTTTGGTAGTGCATGGAAATACACCTATAATAAATATTCTATCCATTCAAAAATATAAGGCATTTTTTAAAGAGTTGGACTTAATAAATATAAGGCATTTTTAGTGTTTCAAAGTGTAATTAATGTGTTTTTTTAAAAATTGTGCTTATTAAATGAATTATTTTATGTTTATTGTTAAGTAAAATACCCTATTAAATAAAGATAAATAAGAAAATATGATGTTAGTTTGAAGACAATTAACTAATTTATTAAAATGTGAGATTTGATTAAAAATACCTTATATTTTTTAAATGGAGGGAGTACCATTTAAATTCAAAATCTAAACATATTTCCAAATGCAATTTCTTTGCCAATTCACAGTTGAAGTAAGCATAACAACACAATTATTTTTCCCTAAAAAGGTTATATATCGATTACAAATTAATTAATCTATCTTTTTTTCTTTCCAATTTGCATTAAAATCCATGGTTTTCTTAATCTGGTGGGAAGAGCCTTAAATGACTCGTATTTTCTTTCATCAGTCGTAAGTATGTCATAAATTTGCAGCAACTCATCAGTGTCTTCCGAGTGTAAAACTTTCTCAAGTTCTTCAAATATCTCCTCGGCACTTGTTTGTGGAGTGTAATCCTTGGATATAGCATTAGCTTGGTTTCTCTTCCTTAAAAAATTCTGCTTCAAAGACACAAAGATGAAGTTGTAACTTGTCAACCATCAATTGAATCATCAATACAATTTGTTTTTTCCTAGCTAGACAGAATTGAACCATATCCAAAAGCAGATCACCAAATTAAAGCAAAAAGATGCAAATAATAAGACACCATGACAACGTATAAGACATTTTTGGAAAAGATCTGGTATTCCCAAATATAAGATTCTTTAACAAAAATAAAAGTTTCATTAATTATATTTTTTTAATATTACCCTTTTCATATATTATTTTTCTTTAATATTCTTTTACAAATGAAGTATTAAATGAAGGAGATTTTTAAAAGTTTATATTGTTATTTTAAAAGGTAAGGTTATAAAGCGTATTTAGTTAATAAATTTTAGTAGCATGTCTTTTATAAATTGAGATGGAGGGATTTGTATAAAAAAAAAAAAAAAAAAGAGGTGGAGGGAGTATATCATATATTCTCCACAATCCATTCCATTTGTGAATAGTAACGCGATGATTCATATTTTTGGGTTTCTTTTGCTTTTCTAGATTCGTTTAGGGCATCTCACACACTTCACTGTAAATCTTTTGTGGAATTGGCTACAGGAACCATCACTTCATCTGAATTCATCAATACACTAAAAATTCAAACAAATACATTGTGAAGTAAATGAGAGGAAGATAGTGAATTTTTTCTAAAGTCTAATCAGTGGCAGAGCCAGGATTTAGTAATAAATTTTAGGGAGGCCGAAAATAATTAACATCTATATAATACACTAAAAAAACAATTTAAAACTTGGGGGATGTGGCCCTTGCTGGTCCCTAATTCCAATAAATTAAAGGACATACCTCAGAAATCAGATTGTCATTTGGCTCAACAATGGGGAGTGACGTTGCATTCGCAGTGGCTGGGCTTGCAATGTGGAGAGGAAAATCGCAAAGACCAGTGCTGGTTCGCATTGGAATGTATAGGAGGAGGGTCAACATTGTAACATATATATATATATATATATATAATATCAAAATCATAACTTCAAATTAATTATAAATTTCATAATTTCAGTTTTTTTAATTTTTTTAATCATCAAACTTATAGATGGAAAAAGAAATAGACATCATAAAGTACCCAATTATATAATATTATATAAAAAAAGCTGCCCAATCCATACAATTGACTAGGTTTTTTTCCCTATTGTTGCGTAATTTGTTTATATGGTAGAGATCCAGTATGACTATGACATAACCCTATAATGTTTACTTTTTCGTATGAAATTAAGTTTCAGGTTCGCAATAAGTGAATAAATAAAAGTAAAAGAGAAGAGGCATTAGAGGAGGCGCTCTCTTCCCCAATGATAAAATCACATTTTCTTGTGTGTGTGTGTATGCTCCTTTAATCCTATTTATAGGGTGGAAAGAGAGTGTATAAGTATTTATTTTGATCCTATTTATAAAACACCTCAATAATTATTTTATTTCTCTTTATTCTTTTGACCCTATTAAATGTTGTGAAGTTTATTAAATGTCAGAGTATTTTGTTTTTAAAGTATGTATTTATTTAATAGGAGTAAAGTTGAAAACTTGTTAAATTTTTAAACAAAGTTAATGGAATAAAAGTAAAAATATTGGAAGTCACGTATAAATAAAACTAAAAAGAGTATATTATACCTTGCATCGTCAATAATGAATTGCATCCGCGAATCATCTGATTTTCCTTCCTCTTCTAAGCTTAGAAAAGATGGCTTTGGAGACTTGGTTTCACATTCATTGATTATGGTTTGAGAGTTCTCACTTATGGATAAATTGCTCTGTCCTTGCTCTTCAACATCAAAACACCTTGTATTTTCCTTAAAAGACAGGGCACAAATTCATAAGTATATCTGATGAGTGGTTCCTCTCATTAGTTAAATATTTGAAATAATATATATAAATCAAGGAAGTAAAGAGAATTAAAAAAAAAAGAAAAAGTATCCATTCAAAACTTTAAGGTTAACACAATTGTTGTGTTATCATTCCCCTAAACTCAATTGTTAATTGACTTGGCAGTAATTAATTGTTTTGATTGGAACTTGTATATAATTCTCCCTACTAAACATCTCCAAAGCTCATTGAAAGCTCTAATTCTCCCTATTAAATATAGTAGTGTTTTGATTGGAACTTGTTTGGCTGCTAGAAAGGATGAGAATGGGATATTGGATTGAAAAAATTAAAATAAAAAAATTAAATTACCTTTCTTTCTTGTGATAAGGATGATAAAATCCAATACTATATGCCACATGTGGGAATTATCACACCCTCCAAAAATCTCATAAATTATAAATCACAACCTCATGAACTAAATTACCCTTCTAAATCCCTTATGATTAAGGTTCACTTATCCCCTTCCAAATTTTGATACTCTTATTTTTATTTTTATTTTTTCAATCCATTACATCTCATTCTTTTTTAGCAATCAAACGGGACCTAAATTATAAGATATTACAAGGAGAGAAAAGGACTTACTTCATCATTGTGCACATCACCCATTGATTTGACTAGCTTTCCAAAATGACCTTTGCGGATGGCACGCCATCCACACTTAATGATTTTTCCATCCAATTTTAATAGAGGTTGAGTCTCAGGAGCCTGAAATCTCAAGCGAATCTGGCTGCAATTCCTTGATTTTTCATGATCGATTTGGTCACTGATCTGCCCAAAAACGATCCAAAGGTGAGGAGATTTTATTCCTTTCTCGTTCAGGCGACTCCTACCTTCAATTGGTACAAATCTAAATCCACCATTATTGCAAGCTTCAACAAAGTCAAACGACCAAATAAGCCAACCGATTTGTTTTTGGTTTGGCTCATCAGTGGAATAAAACATATCATCAGCTAGCACAGTGCACAGCACAAATCCAAACAAGTCAGATGGAGGAATGTCAATTATTATTGAAGCTTCAAGTTTCTCATTCAATGAAAGATACTCTTGGTTCTCAAACAATGATGGCATTTCTTTGCCTGGAATGGTGGCTCCGAAGTTATAAACCGAAAATCCCCATCGGTGAGCATATGTGCGAGGCTAAAACAGGCAATTTTTCACAAAAAATTTCAGATCGATATTCAATTAAGATATAATGAAACTTTTAGTCTCTCAAATTTGCTTCAGTTATCAACAGATCTCTCAAGTTTAATTTTTATTTATTTGGTCCCTTAAATATATCTTAGTTATTGTCTATAAAGAAGATAATACTATTAAAATCTACTGTGATGGATAAGGAACTATTAATGGTAATCATGTATAATAATGAAAAAAAATTATAATTATTTAGGTGGGAAAAAATAGACTCAGAAATTTTAAAAAATAAAAGAACAAAATGCAATATGAGAGAGTATTTTGAGAAAAATTAAACTGATTTAAGAGCTACTTTGTTCTCATTTAGCTACATATATATGCAAAGTCATCAACATACTTTACACATTAGATTAATTTAAATGAACTTGAGGGACCAAATCAATAAAAATTAAATTTAATGGATCAAATCAATAATTGAGACAAACTTGAGGAACCATGTAGATGAATATATATTAACAAATATTCTTACCTGTCCAATTAAATGAAAGAGACGTAATATTTTTTCATTTGACAAGTTTTCCAATGAAGCACATTCTCCTCCATCAATTGTATCTAAATCTGGTGAAGGTTGTGGCAATGACTGAAGTCTTGGGCAGGAATGCAAACAAAGGAAATATAGTTTCATAAGATTAGAAATGCATCCAGAAGGTAGATTCACAAACTTGTTCCCACTAAGATCTATTCTCTCTAGTGATGATAAGCCTCCAAGATCATTTGGAATAGATCCATCACCAATATCACAATAGCTTAAATCTAATTTTCTTAGTGACTTAAGATTGAAGACAGAATTAGGCAATGTTAAGCCCGTAGGAGATGATAATGAGATCCACAATTTAGACTCTGGTCCTTTGCATCCATGGAATGACGTTGTTCTCACATTTTTCATTTGCCCAATGCAAGAAGGTACTTCTGTTATAGCTGTTCCACTTACATCAAGCTCCTCCAAGGCTTCATTTTCATTCAAGTTATCTGCCAACCTCGAAAACTTTGAGCATCCAGAAATATCAAGAACCTTGAGATGTTTCAATTTTTTAATGTTATGGTGAAGGAAAACAAGATTCTTGCAATGCCTCAAATTCAAAGATTCAAGACTAGTCAATAATCCAAGTGACTCAGGAAGATCGACCACATTTGTCTCCCCAATATCAAGTTTAACCAGATTTGTCATGTCTTCATTAAACTCAGGAAGATTTTTTACTTGATTGCATCCGCAAAGAACAAATTCCTTTAGAGAAGTCATTTCCAACCTTTTTGGGAGGGATTTAAGATGCTTGCAACCTCTTAGATTTAACACTTCAACGCTTGTCAAAAGTCCAAGCGAAGCAGGCACTTCTTCTATGCCAGTTTCTTCTAAAATAAATTCCTTGAGAGAAGTCATTTCCAAATTTTGTGGAAGGACTTTAAGTTTTTCGCAGCCTTTCAAATTCAACGCAAGAAGCTTTTTGTGCTCACCAAGTGAAGGATGAAGCTCAACAAGATCTACACAACCTTCAAGTTTTAATTTTTCCAGATTTGGAAGATCCAAGAAATTGGGCGTTTTAATTAAGTACGTAGAATGACTCAAGTCCAAAAGCATTAGATTCTTCAAGCACTGATCAAAATAACATGAGAGAATTAACTATATGAAAAATACAATGTCCTAGCATAATCAGTCGTATAGTATATCTATAATATTGGTGTGTTTGGATTCATAGGGATTTTGATTTCAATCAAATCATGGATACACAAAAATTTATAAAAATCTATTTCTTAGTATATTTCCTTTGTACTATCAAATTTCTTCTATACATTACTCATTTGAAATCCTATAATTTCAAATATCTTATTTTCATGTTTTCATTGTTGACACTTCTATGACTCTTATACCTTTTCTTATTTCCTATTCTCAACTCATATGGATTGAAATATAGAGGTAATATAAACTAATCACTTTCACTTTTTTCTTTTTCATTTCGAATTTTGACTTATCTCTCTTCTTTATTTAAAATTTTTTTAAACTACTCAAGCAAAGAATTTTAAATATTTGAATTTTAAATGTGAGATTGGAAATGCAAGATTTTAAATTTAAAATTCAAATTCAAATTCACCAATGCTACCAAACATTAAAGTAATTAGCTATCCTTCATTACAAAGTTGCTTTATTTTGCTGTAACGCAATTTAAGATCTACAAGTTGATCTAGCTGGCTTCCAGGAGGAAGAGTGTCAAGAGGATATTCCTTCGATCGAAGAACTTTCAAGGCGCTAGGAAGGCATTTGAGGCCATGTGAAAGGTTCAAATTACTTGATATAATAAGTAATCTAAGGTCACACATTCTTGAAAAGGCTTCAAGATCCCAATCTACATCACATGGCTTTCCTTCCTTTAAAACTATCCCTTGGATTACTTCCATTCCCTGCTAAACAATATTAAACGCCAGAAAAAAAAAACCATAATTAATTATTAGAAAGTAAGAAATATAGGGCCTATTTGATTACTTGTTTTCAGAATAGTTTTTTGTTTTGAAAAACAAAAGAATGAAAAAAAACTGTTTGAAAATGTGCTTTTTTTATCTGTTTTGAAAACAAAAAATTTAAAAGTTATTCTGAGGAACTAAAAAAAAAACAGAGAGAGAACATTTTTTAGATGTTTTGTTACTTTTTGTTCTACAAAACTAGATAAAAGGAAAAGAACATCATACTTTCAATAATGACAATTAAGTTAATAAAATAAATTATTCTTTAACCCTTATTTCACCAATTTAGATATGTTTTCAAAATAATGATTTAAAAAGTTTTTTTTTCATTTGTTTGTTTCCCAAGCTTATTCTGAAAAGCTGTTCAACAGAATTATTTTAAAAATATAAAAACAGAAAACAGAACCAAACAAGCCCATAGCATGCATTCACTAAAATCTTGTAACAAATTTAATATGAACACTCACCTTATTTCCTTGTAATCGATTTAAGAGTTCCATAGACCACAACCTATTGGGCGTGCGTTTGTTACCGTTGCTAGGGCATTTTGAAAAAGCAATACTCCTACCCATTTTTTAAATCAAGTCATGCATATCTAAATGCATGCCATTGTTTAACAATGACCTCTCAATAAGAACTTTTATTCCAAGTCTTACATGAAGACCACAATTTATCAATATTTGCATCACTTTATTTTTGTCCCATCCCTTAAAAATGCAATCGATATCCAAAAATATTGTCTTTTCTTCCTCATCTAACCCTTCATAACTTATTTTAAGTATCTTAAGAGTATCATCATGTGAAACTTGCTCCAATTTGTCCCAAGCATCTCTCCATTCAAGTGCACTTTTTCCATAAAGAAAGGACCCCAAAACTTTTAGTGCTAAAGGAAGGCCCCCAGCATAATCAACCATGGATGTGGACAATTCCAAATATCCCTCTCTAGGTTGATCACTTCTGAAAGCTTTGCTTGAAAAGAGTCCAAGTGATTCTTCATTGTTCAAGATTTCAACCTTGTAAGTATTATCCACTCCATGTGATGCCAACAATTGGACATCTCTAGTTGTAATAATCACTCTACTACCATTACCAAACCAGTCTTTGCTTTCTGCCAAATTCTCTAATTGACTAATGGAACTTATATCATCAAGGACAAGAAGAACCTTTCCATTACGAAAAAGGTCTCGGATTTTGTTCTTTCCTTGATATGTATTTTCAATTACCATTCCTTTCATGTTAAGACGTGAAAGAAGCTTCTTTTGTAAGCGAAGATGGCTATCATCATCATATCTTTCACAAAACCCCCTTATATTGCCAAGGAAACAACTAATTTCAAATTGGTTTCTCAATCTGTCATAGACAACATGAGCAAGAGTTGACTTACCGATCCCGCCCATACCCCATATGCCGACAAATTGAACCTCATCTGATCCTATACTCGAGAGAATGAAATGCATCTAATTTAGAGTCCATTCCCACAAGCGTATCATAATTGAGAGACGGCAAATTAGAATCTAATTTCCTTGATAATGCTTCAACCACATCTTCAATAAGTTTTGTTTCATGCCTACAATTGAACAAGTACCAAATGAACTTTCTATGAACCGATACAAATAAATATGTTATAAATAGGAAGTATCTTATTAGTAAAACCTACTCACCAATCTTCGGAATTCCAACCAGCTAAGTTTGCAACTTCTATTAAAGAATCTCGCCATTTCTGCACTTTGCGCTGATCTTCTCTGAATCTGTCTTCAAGCTTGGCAAAAGCTTCACCAAATCTTCCTTTTTGATGTCTTACATCAGATGGATCTACACCATAAAAGACTGGAAGAACTAGTTGCCCCAATCCATTTCTAGACTCAAGAATCTTTTGAAGCTCATTCAAACACCATGGAGAAGTAGCGTAGTTTTCAGAGAGAATGACAATTGCTGAGAGAGAATCCTCAATTGCTTTATCGAGTTTCTCTGAGATCACCTCTCCTCTTGGAAGCTCTTCATCGTCAATGAATGGTCTGAGTCCTTTTCTACGTAGAGATCTCGTAAGTGGTCTGTAAAACCTTTGCGAGTGTCTACACCCCTAAAACTCAAGAAGACGTGAAAATTCCATTTTGAGGTTGATTTAGAGTTTAAAGAAAGATGCTTTTTGAACGCACAGTGCCATTGGAAGATTTTGAGTTGAGAAAGATGCTACATGAATTAAAGTATATCATTAGCTAAAGGAATTCAAACCAAATATGTAAACGCTAAAGACTGATAATTTCTGTGATTATTCTTTTTTTTTTTTGGGGTGCTGTGTTTGAATTCTTGAAGTGCAATTGGGAAAAGGAAACCAGATACAGCTTTCGTGCAGCTAGCGTTCGCCTCTAAAGTCAACGCCTTCTCACATGACAAAACGTATATAGGACAAGGAAGTGCCTCATGCTACGATTAATTTATGATAATATTAAATAAAGAAAGTCAAATTTTACTTGTGAGAATCCAATAATACAACTTGAGTTACCTCATCAAGAAAAGGATTTCTAGAATATTTATTGCAACTTTTGTAAATTTTATGTTGTGTATAAACTTCGTCTCATCTTCTGCCTCATTTTTTTCTACTAAACTTTAAATTTTAAAGTAAACAATTAAAACATATGAAGGCCATCATGGTGACACCAGGAAGAAAAAATCCATGGTGATCGCCATGGCCATGGCTCGCGATCGATGACATATTCTTTAAATGCAATTGGGAAAGGAAACTAGAGACATCTTTCCTTCACCTCTAAAGTCAACGCGTTCTCACATGAGAAAACGCTGTCTAAAAAAGATAAAAAAGAAAAGAAAAGAAAACTTCACATGCTTTGAAATTTGGAAACAACATATACGTACTAAGGACAAAGAAGTGATGCTCATCCTATGATTAATTAATATAATAAAAGCAAGTCAAATTTTTACTTATTAAAATCCAATTCAATAAACTTGAGTTGCCTCATCGAGAAAATGAATTTCTAGAATATTTTATTGCAATTTTTGTAATTGTTGGGAAAATCGCATTTAAGGACCTCCTAAGGACTTTTATTACAAAAAAAATGAGCAAATGATTATAAAATGGCTATGTAGGACTAAGGGACCTAAATGGAATTAAATTATGCTGCGAAAATATAAACTACTTATGATGTTTCTTTTTTTAAAAAAAAAAAAAAAAAGTCCACCACAGTCACCAACGCCTACCAAATCACCGCCTTCGACTGCCGAAAAGCCCTTGTTTCTAGTGAGGTCACCAGTTGTAAAAACTCTAGCAAAAGTCACTGGAGCTCCAACACCAACAAAGCTATCAATAAAAGGTCGTGTTATTTCAACAACCTGACCAAATTCATCTTTGTCACTAAAAATAAATATTTAACAAATTGTGTTATTCTTATATCCTAATTGGTCATAACTTTAAGTTAATTATATAAACAAACTTTAAAAAAATATTGTAAGGGCCTAAGGACTAGCTTAAGTCCGAGCTCGCTTGTTTTTGCAGGGCATATAATTAGGGCAAGGTCTAAAAGCCCTTTTATACCAAAATTTCCTATTTTTTAAGCCTGATCCTAAAAAATTATATGCCAGCAGGCCTAGTTGAGAATTGGGGAGAGGTGACCATTTGCCCTATTATCTCTTGAATATTGAAGAGTTTAGACTAATCCAATCACATGAATTGGTCTTGTTAAGAGTTGTAGCCCACGGACTTGGTTAGAATAATGAATAAGGAGAAGATAAAGGGGGAAATTAATGACCATACATGCCTAATTTTGTTAATATAATTGATATTTATATTTACCCACTTTATATGCCTTTAAATACTTATACTTATATATAATAGAAGTTAGGATTCCTTGATTACTAAGATATTTATTTCACCCCATAATTTAACATTTTATAGGTGATATTTCAATTAGTGGCAAGAGAAAAGAACCAGAGGCAAACAACTACTTATTGTAATGCCTCTTAGTTCTTGCACATGTAGAGGATTTGTAACTTATGTATTTACACACACATACACACACACATTGGTGTATGGAGGATAGGCTGGCTGGCACCCAAGAAGGAGTGAATTAAATGACACTTAAAAAGTTAAAAGAGTAAAATGCTTTAGTATGAAGGAAGAAGATGAGACACATAAGATTTATACTAGTTCAGCCCCAAACTTGGCCTATGTTCAGTCCTCAGATCAAACATTAGATTTTCAACTAAATTGGCAAGCTTCAATGGGTGCTTGCTACCACAATACAACTCACAAGACTTAACTTATCTTGAATCAACTAATAAACCAAGCGACAATTCAGCAAGTTATTACAACCACTTGAAAAATACTTTTTTAAGATTTCAGATGAATGAAATAAACTTTTACAAAGAGACTCTCTTAAAGAGTAGATAATTACAGTTAAAAGCTTATTAAACTTGTGAGAATTTTTTTACAATTCTATTTAAGAATGATGAATGAATGCAAGGTGTTTAAGCATAATTTGAAAACTTTTTGAATGTTCAGATAAAGATAAGTTCGCGCAAGAATCAAAAGTTCTTGTTCAGGCTTAAAATGAATTACATATATAATTTTGGTAATTGACAAACTGTTGGAACAGTGTTTCTAGCCATTAGTGTAATTTCTTGCTTGTGACCTGCTAATCATGTGTGAAATTGCTCTCAACATGTTCTAGATATTTATATGTGATAATTCATGTGTGAACCTTTTGATCTCTGACACATGGTTCTGCATATGTGAATATGTACTCAGTTCTATGTGCTAAAACTCACGTGCAAACCTTCAGCTCTCATGCATGGTTTAGCTAATATAAAACTATCATCAGTCTTGTGTGACACATCTTACGTGAAACCACTATGCTTTAACACGTGAAATTGCTTACAAAAAGTGAAGCTCAAATCTATATGATATAGAACTCATATGGAACTTCTTTGCTCTCACGCGTGAAGTGGCTGGTAGAAAGCCAAAGCCAATTCTTGTGAACAAAATTCATGTGAAAGCAAAAAGCTATCACGCATGAAATAACCATCTCCAGACTTGGTCTATTTGGGAGGACAAATCACATGTGGATCACATCTTTACTCATGCATGAAATAGTAAGGAAATAAGGCTCAAACTAGTTGGTGGCTACATTTCATGCATGAAAATGCAATGCACTCAAGCAAGATTATGCATGATCAAGAGATATGAACATGTGAATCAAAGATCATATATTTTAACAAAGTGAACTTAGCTTGAGATGACTTAAGACTCAGTGTAGCAATATGTGGTTTGAGCAACAATGGATATCAATGGCTATCTCACGTGATTTTACATATAAAAAGCAACGTTTAAGGCATCACATAATATAAGTGACAAATTACGCGTGAATCACTTTTTGACTCTTGTGTGATCCATTTGTTAGTATGCCCAACATGTTGATTCTCGTGAGCATCCAAATAGAATCACGTGTGATTCTGCAGCCCACACTAAATTCAGTTATAATGATTTTTAACACAGTAGAAAGACATCACTTGCAAGCTTGAATATACTTAGATGAGTCTTAATGTATATAAATGAGACATATGATGCATTCATTTTAATGATTATGAAATGTGATTAAGCTCTCAAAGTTTTCACATTGAATCTAAGAAAATTTAAATAACTTATCTTAAAGTTCATCATCTTCTCTTAATTCTTCATATCTTGAGGTTTTGTCTTCATCCATGATTTTTTATGTCTGCACACATAACAAATACCTCTTCTCTTGGTTTTGTAATTATTAAAACATATGATCCAATAGTGTAATATGGGATAAAAATATAATTAAGTTTGATTTAAGATATTAGGATTATCCAATAGAGATATTTAAATTAGGATATTGATCCATTAGATTAGCTTTTATTATTTATTTTATTGTTATCTTAAATATCAATATCTTTAATATTTGATTTAGATTTATTATTTATGAATTGAATTTAAATTATTATCATTTTATTATTTTAAATCTCTATAAATATAGTTAGGTTTTTCATTTGTATTCAGATTTTGACTATTATTGAATTAGAGTCTGAGAGTTTCGGCCTTCTCCTCCTTTTTCCCCTTTTTTCTCTTTATTTTTTTATGCTAAATTCATATCAACAAAAAATGAAAAATTACTCAACATGCCACAAATGTATGAAGAAATTGCAAACCTCCAAAATCCAATGATAAGCAACTTGTGGAAGGTGATAAAGGCAAACATATGAGATTAAGAGGATGATCGATGAATTGAAGAACAAATGGAAGAACAAGCATCAAGCAAACCAATAATTGCAGAAGCTTCTTCCTTACTAATAGAAGATTGAAGATTCTCTAAATAATGATCAAGTTGTCTACTATACACCATACAAATGGCTCCTTCTCAAATTGTTCCTAGGAAGGATCAATCTCATTATGCTACAACTATTCCTTGTCTATGGGCTGTGTCTCCCAAGGTCACTTCATTGCTTTATGGTCAAATTCAACAATACTTTGTTTATTGGAAGGGTTTTCTAGAGATTATGGATGATCAAACTACTCACCCTTATTAGAGTTTGTTCTTTTGCTACCTAACTTTTTGGAGCGGATTCCCAGATACTAGCCTATATCAAGTTACTTGCTATTGCCAGAGCTTGCTTTTTCAATATCTCACTTGTTGGAAAGGATTTTCAGATTTGAGCACTCCATTGAAATTTATCTCACCCTTCCTTTCTTGGATTTGTACCTAAATTTTAACTCGTCTGGAGCCGAGTTCTTCAAATAGGGGAGAGAAATGGTGATATGGGATAAAATATAATTAGGTTTAATTTAGGATATTAGAATTATCCGATAGGGATATTTAAATGAGGATATTGATCTATTAGATTAGCTTTGATTATTTATTTTATTGTTATCTTAGATATCAATATCTTTAATATTGATTTAGATTTAGAATTTGGGATTAAATTTAAATTTAAATTTATTATTTTATTATTTATTATTTTTAGATCTCTATAAATAGAGTTAGGTTTTTCATTTATATTCAGATTTTGAGTATTATTGAATTTGAGTTCAAGAGTTTTGGCTTCCCTCCTTCTTTATCTCTTTCTCTCTTTCTCTCCTCCTCTTCTCTCTGTTCCCCTCTCCCCTTCCTGTTTTACATCACATATATTGCTAACAAGGGTACAAATAGTGCATTTTGATTGTAATTGAATAGGTGAATTGATGAGCTGTCGTGGCTAGCCATTTTGTGGATAAGGTCATGAGGGCTATGATTGGCTAGAGAAACTGGATATGAATATTTGATTGTGACTATAACTTCAAATTCCATTTGATTTTCTAAAACACCAAACATACTTTTAAGTCCAATTTTAGCCCAATTCTACTTTCACTTTCATCTTCACTTCTGCTTCATTAGAAATCAGATCCTTTGTACTCAACGAGGCATTAGCATTGTGAGACTGCAAGTGCAAGCAAAGCTCGATCTACTGAGAAACACCCATCTGAAATAACCCCGAGATTATTTACTATTTCCCCTGAGAAGAATCTCTTTCTCTTTCTGCGCCTTGTGAACTATTTATGGTAATCCGTTAAGGTGTGTTAATAGTAAATTAATAGCCGAACACCCTTTTTTTTTTTGGTATTTAATCAAAGCTCAGAGAACGTGAAAATGTGTCCGTGGACGAGTCCCTAAGAGAGGGAACTTAGGAAAGTAGTCAAATGTAAGGCACTTTAAAAATAATAAAACAAATAAAACAAAAATATTAAACTCAAAAATTTGCAATTATTTAAATGGATACTTACAAGTTATTTTCAGAAAATTATATCAAGGACTTAACTGTCAATTTCCTCTTTTATGACTAAACTATCATTCTGCCTATTTAATATTATTTATTTCACTTTGTGAATTTTTTTATATTAATCACCTAATTATCACTTTCTTAAATAAATAAATAATTTATTGTTTAAATATTATATATTATAAACTAGACAAGGAATTAGATTTATTTAATTTGGATAGTTCAAATTCCCTAAATCGAGACACAACGTGTTATGGGTTGACTTTGATAAAGTCAAATGACGTCGTAAGAATGCATTGGCTCCATATATTCCCATCTCAGTGCGAAGATTCTCGATCTGTCTATATACACGTATAGATATATATTCTCATTCTTCGAGCACTTGTACATATCAAGTTTGGGTTTTACAGATTTCACTTCAAGCATTGATCTGAGAGGCCAGAGTAATATACATCTAGATCTTGAGCCATTTTTCTTTACCTTGTTTCTGTTATTTTCATTCCATATTTGATTTTATTTCCTTTAGCAAAATGATGTCTTTTTTCTTTTGGTATAGATCACAAATCTTCCAATGGCGCTGAATGTAAAAGAAGCATCTTCCTCAAACTCTTCTGACTCCAATTCAACACAAAACTGGAAGTTTGACGTGTTTATGAGTTATAGGGGTTCAGATATTCGCATAAGCTTCGTAGGGTACTTATATGCTGCGTTATGTAAGGAAGGATTCAAAGTTTATTCGAATTATTTGGATGATCTGTCGCCAGTTATCACAAATGAATTCCTAAAAGCAATCGAGGATTCTCGTTTTGCGATTGTTCTTATCTCTCAAAGTTATGCAGATTCTGAATTTTGTTTAGATATGCTCCAACATATTCTTGCCACAAGAAAACAATTAGGACAACAAGTTATTCCCATATTTTATGGTGTAGATCCATCTGATCTGAGAGATCAAAAAAAGAGTTTCGCTGTTGCTTTGGACTTTTGGGAAAGGAAGTTCCAAGATGACGTACCACACAAAGTGCAAAAATGGAAGGATTGTTTAACAGAAGTTGCTGACTTATCTGGTTTCAATTCCAAGGGATTGTAAGTGTCTATTACTCCATTTTCATTGTTAATAGAAGGTTTTAGGGACAATTTGGTCTCTAAATTATAGGGTTAAGAGGGTCTGAAACCTTAAACTTATTTTTGGTGCAATGTTTTCATTTATCTTTTAAAAACGGTACAATGTTTCCCTAATTCTTAACAAATTAACTTTTATTGTTAATTGACCATAAAATGAAAAAAAAGACTTAAAAATGATAGAAAATGATCAAGAAAATTACAGAAAAGGACTCATAAAATACAGACAAGTTTAGTCCTTTTCTATAATTTTTTGGTTATTTTCTATTATTTTATGGTCAACTAACTATCAAAATTAAATTTTATTAAAGGTAAAAGTAACATGACACCATTTTCAAAATTAAGGAAAAATATTATACTAAAAATGAGTTTAAGGTCTTAGATTACGCTCATGAATCTACAATTTAAGGGCCAAATTCTCATTTAACCCTTAATTAAATGAGGGGAAAATTAGAGTACCAAATTAAAAGGATTAAATATACTCCCTCTATTTAAAATGTAAAGTATTTTTTTAGAGGTGAGTGTTAAAAAAAATGTGAAATATTTTAATTTTTTGAAATGTAATTAGTGTACTTTTCAAAAGTGATTATAATAAATAAATCACTTTATATTTATTTTAAAATGAAACGCCCTATTAAAAAAGAATAAATATGAAAAGATGATATTAATTTGGAGAAAATAATTATTTTATTGGGAGTGAAATTAAGTTAAAAATGCCTTATATTTTTTGATAAAGAGAGTAACTTTTTCAAAATATTAATTAAACATCAATTTTTTTATTTCGAAAATTGCAGCAACATATTCTAATTCAAAAATTAATCAGCATTTATATTTACCTTTGTGTTGTATTTTGGGATTGTAGGTACGAAGCAGAACTAGCTCAAAACGTGGTCGAGCATTTACGGATCCAATTTGGACTACGTAATTAAAGTGAGACAGTTATTGGTCGGAGAATTTATGAAATACAATACTGTCTGTGCGCCAGCGCGTGGTTTCCTATGTCATTTCATATGATTGATGTTTTACTCTTTGGATTAATAAGTAAATAAGACCCTGAATTATTATCCAAAAATCATACTAAACCCTGAACTTTTAAAATATATAAAATAAATCCTAAACTTTTAAATTCATAGCAAAATAAACCCTGAACATTAACTTTTTTAACATTGTTATTGTTTACACAGGTACTATAACAATTAAGATTAAATTCCTAAAAAAATAAACTATGAACAGTGCCTACGTGAATAGTAATGGTGTTAAAAAGTTAATAGTCAGGTTTATTTTACTATAAATTTAAAAATTTAGGATTTATTTTATATATTTTAAGAGTTCAAGGTTCAAAGCAATTTCGAGCAAGTTTAAAATTCTATTTGCTCATTATTCCTTACTCCTTTAATATGATTTATTAGGTGGGGATAATATTTATTTTTATTCCTATTTATAAGTATCTCAAGTATCCATCTTTATCCTTTTTATTTTCATTAAATATTGAAAAGGTTATTAAATAATAGAGTATTTTATATTTAAAGTATGTATATTTAGTTGAAATAAAATTAAAAATTTGTTAAATTTTTATACAGAATTAATGGAATTAATGAGATTTAAAATTTCTTTAGTTACAATGAAAATGCTGAAATTGAGCTGTGACTAGTGGGAGTATTTTTTGTTTTCTTGTTGGAGTCCGTCTTCTTATAAATTGATGCATTATGAAAAAGAAAGTCTAGGTTTTTGTGTGTCGTTTTTATACGCGGTTGTCTCATTTTATTTTTATATTATTTTCTAACTACTTCCATTATTTTTTTTCCTTATTGAATTTTTTCTCCTCCATGATGATTTTTTTTAAAAAAATATCAATCTTGACATAAAATATAAAATTTATGGAGAATCATATTATTTGTAAATTATAGATTTGTCCTCATAATTCGGCCATTCTTAAAAAAACCTTCTTTGTTCCTTTTATCAGGCTAACCCCCTTTTTTTTTCTTTTCTTTAATTGTTTTTTTTTCACATTTTTAGAATAAATTATGTTGTATTGAGCCACGAGGAATTTAGCAAAAGGGAGGGAGGGAAGACCACC